ATATATATATATATAGTTTTGTCTCATTTTTCTATTTTTTCCTCTGCTGAGGATATTTGCTGTGTCCTCTTATACAGATAAACATGGAGTAGTTGTTTTTGACAGTGACAGCCTGTTTCTAATTATGTGATGAAAAGGTACAAAATATAAGCCAGTTCAAAGTGCACAGATGGCACGGGTACATCCAACTATGGATAACAATATGAGAGGAAGAGGAAGAGGGCATATACGAGGTAGTGGACGAAGAGGATGGGGATGAGGAAGACCAAGAACAGTAATTTCAGATGAAACTCTAGCTACTGTGATAGATCATGTTCTCGTGCATGGAGAGACAATGAGGGAGGCAGGACAAATAGTTCAAACTAACTTGAGCAGATTCTCTGTGGCCACCATAATCAGGGCATTCAGAGAAGAGAACAGGTCATATTTTTATTTGTATTTTCATCATTTCAATGAGTAATTCACTTTGTTGATATACTGTAAAGTCACCTGGAAAAATAAAGAAAAGCATTTTATGTATAGTAGTAATTTCCATCATACTTTACTATATGTATGTTTGTTTTTTATAATTTTGTAGAACTGCAAGACCATGTCAGGGTGGAAGAACTGCTGTATTCTCCCAAGAGCAAGAGGCTCTCATTGTTGATATGGTCAAAGCAATGCCATCTGACTCCATGAAATTCAGCAAAGAGTTATTGAAGACAATGTAAATTTTGAAGGCATCAACAGTGTAAGCCTTTCTACCATTGATCGTGTCCTCCAACGTAACCTCATATACAAGTATACAGAGTACCCTTTGAACGCAACAACGAAAGGGGCAAAGATCTACAACATTACTATGTGCAAGTACATAAATGCTCAGACATTTTCAGTGCCAATACTTACAGTGCACTTCTGAGCTTCTAGCCTACAGTTACTGTAATGTGCACTATGTTGTGTGTGTAAATTAGGAGTGCATACAAAGACACTACTGTAAAAGTCTTTCAGTATCACTTACTACAGTAAATGACTTTATTTTCATTTACAGAGTGTTTGAATTGGATTCCATGAATGGATTTTTGTAGATGAAGCAGGATTCATCAGTGTCTTTGTCGTGGCAAGAGTGAGATACAAACTAAATTAATTCAGACAAACCACTACAATTTAAAGGATCATTTAATATTACAATTATTCTAAATAGAGTAGCATTTAAACAGATAATCTTGTAGTTAGGGAACAGAGAACAGAGATCAGGGAACAGAGACTCCCCTCTTGCAATGGAATAAGTAAAGCCTAAGAAGGTTATCAGAGCACCAGTCAGTCAGGTCATTGGTTGCCAGTCCCGAGTCAGTCAGCCCCAGTCAGTCGTCGTCTCCCACCAGCCCTCCGAGGCCGGGCTCAGGCTCACTGTTTTATCAGCAACCTCCCTTATGCTATTTCTGAACCTAGCTTCCTGTCTCCAGTTTCGGGAGACAACACCCTGAGATGGACTTCGAAAGCAGGAAACATCTAGTTCCTGTTTCCCAACTCAGCTGAGCCACTCAGCTCAAATAAGTACAAATAATAAACTAAGTACAAGTAATGTCTATATGTGAAGTACATACTGTTCTATGGCATAGTTCTGAAATCTGATTTATTTTTAACCACTACACCATACGATGCACAAACCTACAAGGTCCCTCAGATCTACAAGCCAGTTTCTTTTAGAGGTTCCTAGGGCCAGATATAAATGCTGGGGTGACGTGTTTTTACTGTTGCAGTCCCTAAATTGTGGAATTGTCTACCTTATAATGTTAAATCAGCTACTGAATTATAATGTTAGATCAGCTACTGACCTCATTACTTTTAAATCATTGCTTAAAACATATTTATTTGCCATGGCTTTTAATGCACAATAGGGCTTGATGCTTTTCTTTCTGTTTTAATTTAGTGAATGTGTGTCATCTGTGTGTCTGTGTTATTGTGCTGTTTTATTTTTTTGCACTGATCCTATTTATTCTATTTTAGTTATTTATTGTGATTTTATTCTGCCATGTAAGGTACTTTGGTCAAATGGATGCTGTTTTTAAAGTGTTATATAAATAAATTTGATTTGATTCAATCTTATGAAGAGAAGAGGGAGAAATGTAATTGGCCAATGTGCAATAATGGAAGTTCCTGGTCAGCGTGGTGGCAATGTTACCCTTTGTGCAGCCATAATCAATCATGGGGTTTGTGTTTAAGGTTTGGAGAAAATAAGTGGTGGTTTCAAGAAACATGTTTTAGCAATTCAGAAAAACTGTAAGATGGAGTCCATCAGTTCTTCCATGTCAGAGCTTATTGTTTATGTGAAATAGGCAAAACAGAAGTTGATGTGTCAAATTGTAAAACTTCTAAATTCACTTTACCTTTGAATGGTTTGATGATCAGTTAAGCTTTTACCTTGTACACACCATTTTTTTAATGCAGATGACAACACAGATACAAATATGCACTGTATTCATACAAACACTCATATACAGTGGGTACGGAAAGTATTCAGACCCCCTTAAATTTTTCACTCTTTGTTATATTGCAGCCATATGCTAAAAGCATTTAAGTTAATTTTTTTCCTCATTAATGTACACACAGCACCCCATATTGACAGAAAAACACAGAATTTTTGACATTTTTGCAGATTTATTAAAAAAGAAAAACTGAAATATCACATGGTCATAAGTATTCAGACCCTTTGCT